CCAGATTCGACCAGGTTGACAGCAGGTGCTGGGACCTTTGGGGTACCCTGTCCCTCCCCAAGGTCCTCATCTTGAGCCCTGGCAGGTCTGGTGACGCCCCTTGTTTTGACTGGAGGTGGGACACTCACACCAAGGCCATCACTTCACTGGGACCCCCAGGGGGAGTCTGCGGACCCGACATCAGGGCTCCAACCCAGGGCTTCCCAGAGCTGAGATGATGCCCTGGGCATTCCTCCACTCTCCTTCTGCTCTTCACTTTGACTCTCAGCAGATCTGAGCACCACCCTCTGTCCCTGACCTTGCTCCCCTTAGAACCAGGCCCTCCTTAGCCAGGACCCCTGAGAAGCAAGCGGGAGTAGTGGGGGGGGGCTCATTCCTACAACCCTGCCGGGGTCCCCCTGGGCTGAGAGCATTGACAACTTGGACATCCTGGGGCCCCAGAGACCCCCTCAGGGTTCTACCTTGACTCCTAGCACAGCTGGGTTCCTTTACTCTGCTGACCTGAACCCGGGCACCTGACCCAGGCCCTCACTTCTCCCTTCCCATCAGGATCAGTGAGGTTGAATCTGAATGCTGAGCCACCTGGTCTCCCAGGGCTGTCGGGAGGGCTGCACATGCATCCCCTGGGGACCCTCACTCTCCTCTAGCCCTCACCTCGATTCTTCACAGGACATGGGCACCTCACTTTGCCCACCTGAGACGGCGCCCCACAGACCAAGCCTCTGACTCCCCAAGTTCACTGAGGAAGTGAGGGGATGTGGAGTCTCAGCCTGACAGTCCTGACCAGGGTGCCCAAATGTCCCAGTGGGGTAGAGTTGTGCTCTATATTGTCCACTGTTCTGGGGTGACTGTACCCCCTCATCTTCTCTCAGGAGGAAGCCTCCTTAACCCTTCAGAGAAGGCTGCAGTCCCAGCACAGATGCCGGATGGGGGGCTGCTGTGCCCATGACCGTGGGGAAACAGAAGGAACACTCGCCTTCCCGTGGGAGCCCCTCAGTGTCACCAGACTTCAGAAACTTTTGTATAAATGACGTTTTAGCTGAAGTGGGTGAGCAGCGGCAGGTGAGTTAGCAAGAACTCAGCAGCTGGGAGATGGTCTTAGCCACTCATAGCTACTTCACACTCCTCCTCTCTGGGGTATCTCCAAGGTCGTCTCCTGGTGGCTCTCTTCCACTGGTCTGCAAGGATGCCCTCCCCGCCCCCCGCACGGGCTCATTTTGTGCAGAGTGGCCAGAGGGGCTCTCAGGGGCCAAGAACTTGTGAGTTATGGGTTCTAAGCCACCACTGGTCGGGCAACTTTAGACTCTGCCCCCAGGAAGGAGGGACATTCAGGAGGAGGGTGGGTGGCTGACCTGCCTTGCCCTGCCCCTGGGGCCCCCGAGGGCCAAGGACTCAGCCTCACTGCAGTACAGCCCAGACCCCATGATGGCCTGGCCTCCACCAGCCCCCATACAAACCCTCAGAGCACCACTCAGAGGCCAGAGGTGCTGCCTGAGTGACTTGGGCATCCCCACGTCTGCTGAGGGACGGAGCACGCGGAGTCCGTCATCTGCGGGGTTTGCATGGGGCCTTGGGGGGCCCCCTCGCCGGGACCTCAGACCCTGGAAATGGGGACCTTCTCTCCCTTTCCAGAGGCTCTGTGGACGGCTGAGCACCTTGCTGCCCAGTCACAGGCCCTGCTTGTGGGGTCGGGTGCGGACAAGACCCGGGCCGTGGTGTCTCACCAGCCTCCCCTGCTGGTTTGTAGCTCAATTCACTCCAGGGCCCTGGCTCATAACAGTTCCCACAGAGTCCCAGGAAGTTCCTCCTGCAGAGAACTGGCACTCCAGAGCACCGCCAGCTTTGCTCACTGCAGATTAAGCCTTGTTTCTCTCATCCAGAAATCAGCCTCTTCCAGCCTCCCCACCTCATCCTTGTTTGGCCATGGCACCTCACTTTGTGAAGGGACAGAGCACGGGAGCCCAGGGGATGAATAGGCCACAGAGGACCCAAGATGAGCACTGGGCCAAGGGAGGCTCAGGCAGAGCTGGTAGAAAGTGAGTTGGCCGTGGATCACTGGCTCCCCAGGGTCTGACCGATTGGGCCTCCAGGGTCATAGTTGAAGCACTCATGAGGCAGGCCCCCTCTCTGAGACACCCTGTCTGGTTGAATTGCATTTCCAGTCTCCTAGACACTGTCACCTGTGGGGCCCCAGGGACAGAACTAAACCGTTGCCTCTGAAGCCGCCTGGCCTCTCTTCTGGTGACCAGGGCACGTGTCGGGCTCAAGACAGTTTGACTCTCCAGGGCCAGCCCATCAAGGCCATGCTCCCTCCCTCCACTCCTGTGTAACCCTGGGCTGCTGCCTCTGCCCAGCCCAGGAGTACTGTGCACTCTGCAGACATCAGTCAAAATCTACCAAGGACTGAGTGGTGTGAGTGAAGTACCGCATGGGTCTCTTTTGATGTCAGGCAGCCTTGACTTTGTAAATAAAAGTTGCCTTTTGTGACAAGCAGATAACTTGAGATTGCTATCTGCCCACCTCTGCTTTCTCGATAGATTTACAGGTAAGCAGGTGCCACACATGCTGAGATTTCTGGGAACATGGTTTTTAAATAGCAACATCTATCCTGTGTGATTCCAGGTCAGGAGACATGCAGGAGTCAAGACAAAAAAGCTAATGGATCATGAAAAGTTAAGGCGTTCTGCAGGCAGTGAACCTTCATAAGGGTCTGCATTTTGGCTTGGAAGTGAGCATCCTGGTCGGGCGTCACGGCAGCTCAGTTCTGGGGCTGACAGAGCCCTGGCCTGTGCCGCCCTGTGTCCTTTCTCAAGGCCTCCTCTGCCTGTGCCTGACTGCCAACAAGGGAGACCCAGCCTTCCAGTCCCAGCGGACTGGTGTGTGCACTCTCCCCTCACCTGACCTCAGAGCCATTGTCTCTGCAGCATGACCTTGGAGGGCTATTTGCTATGCTCCTCAGGAAAAACACTCTTTTAAGGGAAAACACATTATAAACTGAACACCCCAGCGAGCAGAGGGTGCTGAGCTATAACACCCTCGGTGTGCTCAGCTGAAAAAGGAAAATAAAAGAGAAACAAGAAAATGTCACTAGATGCAGTCCCTGCAATGAAGCCAAACCTTGGGCCTGCTGTCCAGACACCAGCGAGTCCCCAAACTGCACAGCCACATGCCTTGGCCAGGGACCACAGGCTCCAGCCCTGTGCATCTCAGGACAATAAAGGCTCTTTTGGGGCCCCTGACAAGGAGAGGCCTAATTTCTCCTCATCTGTCGAGTGAGGACCCTGCTGGACAGTGTCCCTGTGCCTGTGAAGCCACTCCGCCAGGCTCTTGTCAAGCCCTTGACGGCTCTTTTTAATGAGTGGGTGTAGAGCATCTGAGGGGCTTCCCCAGGTGTGTATGAGGTGCCTGCAGTGTGGCGAGGGTGAGGCCATCTATCTTACCTTCCTGAGCAAGCAGCTGCCTGAGGGGCTCAAATACTCAGCCAGGCTCAGGATGGAGGTACTGAAGATGCATGCTGGGCGGGAAATCCCTCATGTCTTCAGGCTCTTTATTGCCCTGCAGTGTTCTGACCACAGGGCCGCCTCTATATGTCTGAATAGGGTGCATATTTGGGGTCCTCTGGGGTGCACCTGAAGTGGGGATTACAGGAAAGAATGGCTAGAGATTATGGGAAAGAGGGGCTGCTTGAGCAGTAGTATAAGGGGTTCTGGGCCTGAGCCACAGTGGGCCTCAAGGTGATTCACAGAGGCACCAGCATGGCCACTGGGAGCTGTTCAAGGGGCAGGCTGAAGATCTGGGTGAGCTCAGTGGTGGGGCCCACCACCACCACAGAAGGAGCCATCTGGGCAGGAGGCCAGATGAAGCAGAGCCACAGGTCCTCAATGGGCAGGGACACCTCATCAGGACAGGTACCAGAGAGACTGAAGCCTGTGTCCCCTAGGGTTGCCAGGCACCAGTACCCATCAAAGGGGGCAGGGAAGCTTTCCCCAGACCAGCAGCAGGGGCAGCATATGTCCTGGCCAGGATGGTGGCAGGGGCGAGTTCCAGGTGGCTCGCAGTCCCCTGGGCACCCTCAGGCCAAGGTGACAGGCCGTCCTGTGGCTGTGTGGTGCTGGGCACAGGAGGGATGACCAGGGCTGCCGGCCTGCCCTCCACCTGCCGAGACACAGACTTAATGCCCCCTCTCCTCTTCATCTTCCCCAGGAGGTGTGGGCTGTCTGCCTTCAACAGGGCACTGCAGCAGAACTGTAACTGGGGTTCACTGAGAGAGAGAGAGAGAGAGAGAGAGAGAATAGCAAAGTTCAATTCTCATAAGGCTTACTGAAACCAGCACCCTCCTGGCTAGACCCCTGGGTGCTCTCACCCAGCCATCCCTAGGCCCCATGGAGAAAGTGGGAGGCAGTGTCCCAGTTTGCACATCCTCAACACTCACTAACTCAACATTGCCTCTCGCACTTGGAAAATGACTCAGAATGGCCCAAGAATATCCATACAAGGCCCGGAGAGGGGACTTGGCATTTGCAGTGGGCAGACTGCAGAAGCTCCTCTGCTTTCTATTCAGGTGTTGACCCCTGGCTTGCACTTCCTCGGCTGACCAGGACACTTCCCAGGAAAGGACCTGTGCTTCCCTGCACTAGACTTCTGTTCCACAGCTGTGGGAGTCATGTGCTTAGCCGCTCAGTCATGTGCGACTCTTTGCAACCCCAGGGACAATAGCCCACCAGGCTCCTGTGGCCATGGGGATTCTCCTGGCAAGAATACTGGAGTGGGTTGCCATGCCCTCCTTCAGGGGATCTTCTCACCCCAGGGATGGATCCCAGGTCTTCCACCTTGCAGGTGGATTCTTTCAGGTCTGAGCCACGAGGGAGTAACGGGGGCACACAAACCCCTCCCCATCTGCTTCCCCCAGGGCACATACACCAGTCCCCAGTCCTGTCTTTACACATAGCTTTCCCGGCAGGCCTGCCACCAACTCTGGCGGTCCTGAGGTTGGCACCCACCCTGCCCCCAGGGCCCATCAAGTACTCCCCTGCCTTTAGCTTGCTCAAGACACAGACAGGCGGCTCCTCTGTGAGCAGGTTGGTCAGGCAGAGGGAGGTGAGCACATTCTGGCATGCTTTGCTGAATCCATACAGGCTAAGCTGGCAGACGAAGCTCTTCATACAGTCAGTCTCAAACACCTTGTCTGAGCCCACCCTCTCCAAAATATTCTCGAAGAGCTCCTCACTGATGCCTATGCAAGTGGCATCTTCCTCCCACCAGATGGACCAAAGTGGTGACTGTTGATGATGGCCCACCGCTTCCTGGGAAAGGGGAGGGAGAGGAGGCTGCCCTCTCCCCCCAGGCAGGGCACCACATTGGTGTGCAGCCTCTTCAACAAAGGCTCTCCACTCAAAGCCTGGAAAGCACTCTCTTCCAGCAGCAGCTTGAAGCTGCGGTGGCCCGTGGACACGGGCTAGGCCAGGGCAACTGAAAGGTCCACAGGGAGGAGTGCAGCTCCCTGAGCTGAGGGCTGGAGCCCCTGTGTTTGGAAGAAAGGGAGCACCCCTCCAAAGTCAGGGACCCTGTCCACTGAGGGGGGCCCTCCTGTCCACAGCCACGTGGACTGGGGTGCATCCCTCTTTCCTGGAAAAGGGACAGTGCAGTAGCAAGGAACACTCCAGTCTCACAAGGGTGCTCAGTCCCTCACCAAAGGTCTCTGCTCGCTCGGGGCTGACATCACAAGGCAGTCATTAAGTGACCTAATAAAGGACTGGCTGCACCCAGGCTGGTCAGCGTGTCAGCCTCTTGGTCCACGCTCATCATGGCAGTGGGCACCATGACACTTGTGCACAGGCGTGAACTCTCAGGCCAAGCCCTTGTGTAAACCAGGCACAGCCTTCTGGTCCTGGCATCCTGGGGCCAGGCAGATGCACACCGACAGACGTGTGACCCTCAAAGTCAGCCCATCCTCTGTGTTTACATGTGCTTTGAGGGTTCTGCCTGGTAACCTTGCAGTCAAACACAGCTTCATCCAAGGAGGGGGTCCATGCTCAAGGGTACAGCCATCTGGCCCTCTGTGCACTGTTGCTGGCCAGGCAGCCAGTCCCCCACACAGACCCTCTCTGGGCCCTGCCATCGGTCTGCAGGAACCCCAAGGTGGGGGCTGTAGAGGCATTGGCTGAGGTCCCAGGGACACAGAAGGAGGACAGGCCACCATCGTCTGGGCTCCATAGTCTGCCCATGTCCACCCCAGGCCAGCCTTGCTCTGCACACCCCTGTCCCAGGCACGTGGGGAGGGGCGGTCACCCTGGGCCTTCACACACAGTATAGCTCCCTTTCCTGTGACCGCCGTCCATGGGACTTCCATCTGGCTCTGTGTCCAGGCTGTGACAGTTGCCATCCTGCTCTGGGGCCTGGTGCTCTAACATCAAAGTGGCAGCCATGCAGGGTGGCCCACATGGGCGACCCACCCCACTAATGCCCACCACTCCAACTCTGCTCCTGGGGATGAGGATCTTCCTGAGATTTCCAGAATCAGAAATGCCTCTGACCTTGAGGCGTCAGCCAGCCAGGGCCCAGGAGCCCGGCCCAGTGGGTGAGAGAGAGGGTTCAGGTGAGGAGATGCCAAGGTGGGCACCTCAGCCCTGCTGATCCCCAGCTGCCTGGCTTACCCACTCTGAGCCTCTGCTTCCCCACATGGGTAATTGTAGGGGCACCTGCCTCACGGGGCAGTGAGGACTCAGGGGAGGTACAGGAGGTGGCGAGGTTCCTGACACTTAAGTCTGCCATGTGGTTACCGGGAAAGTTGCTATGTCTCAAGCAAGTCTGCATCTAAGGCACACAAGCACTGATCTCCCAGTGGACCTTGGCTCCATGCTGGAAGTCTCCCATCACCAGCGAGGGATGGGTTCCTTGTTGATTCTTGCAAACTGGGAGCTGAAACAGCACCTAAATTAAATGTCTCTAGACACAGCTCGGGCAAGCTAGATAGAACCAGTGTGTCCCATAGACAGAAGCCCTACTCAGTGCCCTCCCATGTGGTCCAATGGCTAAGACTCCATTCTCTCAATGTAGGGGGCCCAGGTTTGATTCCTGATCAGAGTACTAGATTGCACATGCAGCAACTAAGAGTTAGCATGCTGCATCTTAGATTCACATGCCACAACTTAGAGTTCACGTGCTGCAGCTAAAGACCCTGCATGCCACATCTAAAAATATCCCAAGTGCTGAAACTGAGGATTCCGAAAGCCACACATGAGGATCCCACATGCCTCAGTGAATATCAAAGATCCCATGTGCCGCAACAAAGACCAGACACTGTCAAATAAAGTGAAAAAAAAAAAAAAAAAAAAACCAGAGCTGGAGGAATCCAGCTTCTTGACCTTAGACCACAATACAAAGCTTTATTAATCAAAACAGTATGGTACTGGCATAAAAACAGACATACAGATCAGTGAAATAGGATAGAAATAATAGAAACAAGCCTATGCACCTATGGTCAATTAATCTACAACAAAGGAGGCAAGGATACCATATACAGTGGAGAAAAGACAGTCTCTCCAGGAAGTGGTGCTGGGACAACTGGACAGCTGCATATAAAAGAATGAAATTAGAATATCATCTAACACTATATATAAAAACAAACTCAAAATGGATTCAAGACCTATGTGTAAGATTGAATATGTAAAACTTCTGGATGAAAACATGGGCAGAACACACTCTGACATAAATCACAATAGCATTGTTTTGGGATCCATCTCCTAAAGTAAAAGAAATAAAATTAAAAAAAAAAAGACAAATGGGCTTCCTAGGTGGCACTACTGATAAAGAACTTGCCTGCCAAGGCAGAAGACACAAGAGACAAAGGTTCAATCCCTGGGTCAGGAAGATACCCTGAATTAGGGCATGGAAACCCACTCCAGTATTCTTGCCTGGAGAATTCCATGGACAAAGGAGCCTGGTCAGCTACAGTCAATAGGGTGGCAAAGGGTCTGACACGACTGAAGCTACTTAGCATAGCACAGGGACCTAATTTAACCTAAAAGTTCTTTCACAGCAAAAGAAACCATTGAAAAAATGAAAAGAACCTACTGAATGAGAGAAAATGTTGCAAATGACTGATTTGGGGTTAATAGCCAACATATATAAATAGCCCAAAAACACAGTGTCAGAAAATTTAAAAAAGAAAAAAAAACTTTAAAAAAGTGGGCAGAAAAACTGAATAAAAACTTTGCCAAAGTAGATATACGGATGTCTAACAGGCACATGAAAATGTGCCCAACATCACGAACCCATCAGGGAAATGCAAATCAAAATCACAATGAAATGTCACCTCATACCTGTGAGAATGGCTATCATCGAAAAGAACACAAATAAAAAATGGTACCAAAGATGTGGCAAAAAGGGGATCTTTGTGCACTGTTGGTGGGAATGTAAATTGGCACAGTCACTGTGGAAAACAGTAGGGACGTTTCTCAGAAAACTAAAATTGAACTGTGTGACCAAGCATTCCACTCCTGGGTATATATCTGAAAACAACAACAACAACAACAAACCTCTAATTTGAAAAGATACATACACCCCAATGTTCATGGTATGTCAAGATATGGAAGCATTCTAAGTGTCCGTTAATGGATGAATGGATAAATAAGGTGTGGCACACACACACACAAACACACACACATATGCACAATGGAATACTACATATCCACAGTAACGAATGGCATTTTGCCATTTGCAGCAAAATGGATGGACTTGAAGGCAATATGCTAAGTGAAATGAGTCTGACAGAGAAAGACAAACACTGTATGATCACACTTAGATGTTGAATTTTAAAAAAATAAAACAGACTAATAACCTCAGATATGCAGGTGACACTACCCTTATGCCACAAAGTGAAGAGGAACTAAAGAGCCTCTTGATGAAGGTGAAAGAGGAGAGTGAAAACGTTGGCGTAAAATTCAACACTCAAAAAATGAAGATCATGGCATCCGGTCCCATCACTTCATGGCAAATAGATGGGGAAACAATGGAAACTGACAGACTTTATTTTCTTGGGCTCCAAAACCACTGCAGATGGTGACTGCAGCCATGAAATTATAAGACACTTGCTCCTTGGAAGAAAAGCTATGACACACCTAGACAGCATATTAAAAAGCAGAGACCATTGCTTTGCTGACAAAGGTCCGTCTAGCCAAAGCTGTGGTTTTTCCAATAGTCATGCATGGATGTGAGAGTTGGACCATATAGAAGGCTGAGCACTGAAGAATTGATGCTTTTGAACGGTGGTGTTGGAGAAGACTCCTGAGAGTCCCTTGGACCGCAAGGAGATCCAACCAGTCCATCCTAAAGGAAATCAGTCCTGAATTTTCATTGGAAGGACTAATGCTGATGCTGAAACGCCAATACTTTGGCCACCTGATGCAAGTAACTGACTCATTAGGAAAGACCTTGATGTTGGGAAATATTGAATGCAGGAGAAGAAGGGGAGGACAGAGGGTGAGATGGTTGGATGGCATCACCACCTCATTGGATATGAGGTTGAGCAAGTTCCGGGAGATGGCGAAGGACTGGGAAGCCTATTGTGCTGCAAGTCCATGGGTTCACAAAGAGTCAGACATGACTGAGCAACTGAAAAACTACTGAATGTTAAAATAGAAGAATCTGACTCACAGACACAGAACAAACTAGTGGTTACCAGCTGGGAGAGGGAAGGAGGAATGGGCAAGAGAGGAATAGGGGAGTAAGAGGTACAAACTATTATGTATAAAAGAGGCTACAAAGATATACTGCAAAACATGGGGAATACAGCCAGTATTTTGTAATAGCTATAAATGGAGTGTAACTTTCAAAATTGTAAATCACTATATTGTATATCTGTTAACATATAGTTCTGTATAACCAATATACTTCAATTTAAAAAGTGAGTTTTCTCAAATGGTTCTGGGGTTTCTAGAATTAGCTCTGTAATCTGATCGGGTTTAAAGCTGCTAATGCCTCTGTAAGTAAAGACAGCATCGACAGCCTATGGCAACAGATATATGGAAAATATCTGCTTTGGATATGCATGATGAAGCACTTAAAAGAAGTGCTGGGTACAAGGTGTTCTGTGACTGTGTATATGATACTTTTGAACATTTTTGGAACACTGGTAGATATGATGAGCTTTCTGGTTGCTCCCAATGTAGTTGGAAAGAGTGATGAAAGAAAAGGATTAGCTCAGTTTACAGTAAAAGACCTAAAAGATTCTATGTATACCCATAAGGAGACACATATCTCCTGTAGATCCAGGGTTGAGATTGCTAATGATGACATGCAAATGCTCATCCTTCAACTGGTTGAATTAGACTTGAAGTTGAATTCTGCCACTAGAGTGTTTACTGTTAAAATGAGAGTGCTGACTTGGAAAGAATGGGATTCTGTACATTATGATAGAGCCTTGTAGGGAGACCCTGATGAAGCTGGGGACACTAAGCCCATCAAGTCTGGTGAGTCATCCTTGTAGTAGAAGAATACTCCCCACGCTCAGTGGGAAGCAGCCTCCTGACCCTCAGTGGGATCAGCCTCCCCATTTAAAGCTAGATCAAGCCAGAATGATTCACTAAGCATAGATTCTGTATTTAATATTGCAACTCAGGGAGTTAGAAAGGGATCTTATTCATTTGTCTGGTTGGTTGAACTATGCGCCAAAAGTTGGCCCACAGTGAGTGGAAATGTCAGACCTGCCTTGATTTAATA